CACACACGCACACACACACAGCCCCGTGCCCTTCTTTAATAACAATAAAACTTAATAAGAAAATTAAAAACATTTTTCAGTTTACTTTTTCTTTTACTAACAAGGGAACGGTCGGAAGTGTCCCTCACCAATTTCAATGAGCTTGGGATATGTTGTAGAGCATAAAAAAGTATTACACCCGTATTTTTTAAATCGGTTTTACTCGACTTTTAGGGGGTGAAACAGCCCCTCGAAAATAACGGATTTTTTCATTTTTTACGAATATCTTCGAAAATATAAGTTTTATGGAAAAATGTTTTAGACAAAAGTTTTATTGTTTTTTATAGTCTTCACAATGGCGTAATCACATTTTTTAACAATGTCAAATTTTTTAATTTACCCCCACCCCACCATTTTTAAAAAATTAAAAAAATTTTTTCAATGCAGAAATTTAAGAGCATCAAATGACAATTATATCCATGTATATTTTTATTATGATACGACAATTTGATTTTTGGGAAAATCAGATTGTCGTATCATAGTATGAGGTATAGGGGGCTTTACCCCTTCCCCCTTGCTGGAATATCCATGCTATGTATCAGGAGATCTGGGAGAAGATGTGGGTAATGGGATAGGTGTAGGATAGATCTCACTTCGCGCGAAAAGTTGCAAACCCAATTGGAACCGTACAACGCGTGGACTTAGTTTTGTCCCGAAAGCAGAGGTCGGTGTAGAAAGGATCTCGAAACGATGCGTATGTATCCGGGGTCCCAGTTTCGGAAAATATAATCTAACTAACAACAATAATAACAATAATAACACAGGTGTATTCTATTCATTAAACATTTTTTGTCAACAACTTTTTAACAAACCGACCAACGGCTGAAACTTCTTGAAGGTTACTCAGGGTCATAACCTTGAAATATATGTCAAGGTCATCGAAATTGAAGGGTGGTCCGTAAATCTAAATAATTACCATTTTATCATACATTCTACTAGTAAAATGTATACTAAATATAATTACTAGTGAGATGTGTGGTAAAATTTCAAAAAAACTCTTATACGATTCTTCAAAATGCCAGTGTCCCACGATTACATGATTTCATTTAAAATTAAGAGGAAATATTATTCCTTATGAATATTACTGAAATCCTAGAAAGTAAAATTGAAGTGGATTTAACTGGAGTTTTTAATTTCAGTACACATTGAACTTAATCCCATTCTTAGTAAGAACGACAGTCGCGATCACCGCGCTGACGATTCTCTCGTTGAGAACGAGAGTAAGGGATATTTGGGACTTATTTACTTAAACGACAAATATTTTACCGTACATGACGAACTAAAGCGTTGACACTTTGCTGTCAGGACACATAACTACGTTTTACAATGTTGTCATTTATATTTATCAATGTATAGAATTCCCTTTATAAAGATTTCTTCGGAAAAGTTTACTTTAAAATATAAAAATTACAATGATATTTTAAAAGAGTCTGTATTTGTACGCGACGCTGAATTTACATGCTACAGGCCAAAGCGTTAGTACATTAAAAAAGCCTCGAAAGTATTAAGAAAAATACTTGTTTGTCATGCAGAGAGGACGCGGCCCCTTTCCGTTTCGATTAGATTTCAAACAAAGTTTCACGGTTCTATTATAATTTCCTCGGTTCCTGCTGTGCCTAAAAAGGTTCAAGTGAACCTTTTAATCCCTAACATTTAAAATTTATTTTTTCAAAAACCCATTTTGTGAAAAGACACGCTTAGGATATGTTGATGTAAAAGTCAAATTTACGTATGAAATGTCAGAGTGCAAAATGTATGTAAAATTGAATATTCCTCGGAATTACGCGAAATTTATACGAGAAAGACCAGTTTATTATATATCGACAAAGGTATCACGAGAAATAACAGATAATATATTCTTCTGGCCAATATCTCCGCTGATACAAATAAAAGCACCCGTGCAATACGAATACTCAACTTTCTTTCTCGAAAGTTTTGTTCACAAGAGTATACTTTTCCACGAGATATTTGTATTACAGATCGTAATAAGTATAGGTATATACAGGGTGTCCCATTTTAACTTGGACAGTAAAATATCTCGAAAACTGAGCCCAGCAGACAAAAATGTTTCAGACAAAAGTTGTTTGGTTTCGAGGGGGCCATAAGATAGTACCATGGGTTTGACATTGAAGAATTATTTGAAGGTCACATAAAGGTCACACCAATTTTTTTAAATGGCATCCCCTATTTTTTATTACATGTTCTTGCAGCTGACCTCGAGAGCTTTACAAAGTATTTTTTTATTAAGAACTTTTTGAGTTATTAAGGTTTGAAAGTTCCAATATTTTGACATAAATTACAAAATATCTTGTAAAATATTCATTTTTTTATCATCTTACCTTAATACTTTTTTGAACAGAATAATGAGACAAATCAACCGGTGTAAAGAAAACACAATTGTTAAAAAAATTATTTTATTACTTGTTACAAAATTGTTTTCTTTCGCACCGCGTTGTATCTCGCGCGTCGCTCCACCTCCCGCTCATCAATCGACAAATTAGATCTATAATTAATTAGATCTATAAATTAATTACTCGATAACTATTGCGAATTTTGCAACGCGGCACATGATTTTTTTCCCAGTTTAACCCAATCTACCACTATTTTACAATTGGCGATATTTTTATCAGACACCCTGTATATATATAATATATACCTATATATTCAGTGACGATCCGCGGAGATCACAAAGAAAAGTTCAAAGATTGCGAACGTCAATATAAGGGAATTTTTCAATCTTAACGATATACTTTGGAAGAAGAATTTATTAGGATATAAATACAAGATGTCCCAAAATTCGCGAATCGAAAGACCATAGTAAGAAAGTTGTCGAAAAAAGAAATTTAAAAGGTAAGGGATTAAAAGGTTCAATTGAACCTTTCCCAGGTAGAACATAAAACTCATAATGACATCATTATGACATCACTTAAAAGTCATTTTGGAAAAATCATAATGATCTCATTTGATACATTTTTGGCTATGTTTTGGTGAGTTATTTAAGATATCATAGTGGCTTTAATATGACCTCCAAAAAGAAGAATATTATCTCAAATTGATTGATACACGAAATTTATTTGCATTATACATATTATATTATTAGCGAGTATACATTTTATTATTATAAATAACTAATAACAAACATTATTGCACACAAAATGTAGTACTTTAAGAGATCATGTGTTAATAATGTAAAAATTAAAATAAAATATTTATTTTTAATGGGAAAGCAACTTTAAAAAACTGCGCGTGCATAACAGAAAATGATTTAAAAAAAATAGAAGTAGTTCAAAATAGAAATTCTGACAATCATATTAGAATAATATAAGTACATCATGTTAATATGAAAATTAACAAATTTTCCTCTAATTATCTCTTTTAACTCTCTTTTAACTATAACGTAAAAGTATCAATGTTTGAATATGTACTTAAAATCTATGATTCTTTGTTTTTAAGTTGCTTTCCCATTAAAAATAAATACCTATTTTGTTTTAATTTTTACATTATTAACACATGATCTCTTAAAGTACTACATTTTGTGTGCAATAATGTTTATTATTAGTTATTTTTAATAATAATGTCCTCTTTAAATCATTTTTCAATCATTTTTGTTTGGGTAACTTTTAAGTGATGAATTAAATCATGATGACGTCATTATGACGTCATTATGAGTTTTATGTTCTACCTGGGTTTCATCTAAAAAATATTGCTCGGAACGAATGGCAAATACTTTTTAACTTATTTTTTCGACAACTTTTTTGCTGTAGTATTTTAATTCGCGTATTTCGGGATATTCAGTATGTACATTGGATCGATACCGAAACCTTTTACGTTCAACGAGAAAATATTCCGATGTACCTTTTCAGAACAGTAAGAAATTTTTACAATATATTGCTTACAATTTCCTTAGTATTGCTTACAATATCCTTTTCGCATATTATATAAATAAATGTACATACTTATGTATATAAGCGCGTTATCGGTTATTTTATAAAATTCTTTACTTCCAATCATTTAGTTTAAAAACGGTTAATTATTTGAAAACGATTTACTACCTCCACATTTTTGTTTCGTCGATAAGAAAATTTAAAAAAATTCCATAAAGAATTTAGTTAGTAAAATTTAATACAATATTTAACAGAGATACGTTGTGTGTTGAATCCATCACGCCTTTGTTTACCTTTCTGTTAATTATTGGAAAAACTAAATTTTGAATTAGCGGATAGAGAAATGCACGGTAGAAGAATCATCAGAATCAAATTCTGCGAGCACCACTTAAAAAAAATATATCGATGTTGGAAAATGTACTTTAGAAGAACGTAACGAAATATCGAAAGAGAAGCCAACTATGCGTTGCCTTTTATTTTAATTTTTCTCTTGTTCCTCCATTTTCACGTTTTTCAGCGCACGCGTATGCACCATCCACGGTATGACAAATTGATTTCTCTTTCATCAGAACGAGTATTTTATCTTGTTCGCTTTCACGTGGTATTTGAGGACATTTCTCCGTTCGACGAGCCATAAACATTTTCGCGTAAACTCTGGTCGAAAACAAAATTTTTCTGACCTCATTGTTACAAACAAGATAAGGAGATCGCGCGCGTTTGCCTAAGGAACAAAAACGAGCGCGTCGTCACGCATTGTTTTGAAGAAAAGTAACTTACTTGTATATACGGTTGAGGCTGTTGTGAGGACGGTGGAGGTGGAGGAAGAGGACCACCAGTTACCGCTGCATCTTGCTGCGGGGACGTGCGTGGTGGCTCTGAAAATGACAGTATCCTATTTACACGTTACGCCAAATCGCGTCGCGTAACTCGTCACTGTGACATTTTACATGTGATACTTTGCACTTATTAGGAAAAACAATGCTGATAAGCTTTGCAAGTTAATTTTTGTGCGCTGCTTAGATCTGATTAAAGAGAACGCTATTGCAGGAGCGAGTGAGAAAAGTGAGATTAATAAAAATTTTTCAGAAAGCTAGTTCCCCTCACGGCTGAATATTTACTCTTTACGAGTTTACTACTTCGACATTCCAAAAGTTAAACTGCAAAAGTAATCTCGGAAAATCCGTTGCTACACGTTCTTATTAACTACGTATGAAGTAATAAAAAAATGCATGAGTAGTATCTCTTGGATTTTTTTATTGTGTATTTTGTAAAACCGCAAGCCGTACGTTTCAAGTTAAAATGCTTTAATTTTACACTAATTTTAAGGTAACCCACAAACTAAATTAAAATTCAATATTCTTAAGAGGATCCTTCAGCCATCTTTTAACAGATATAGTCAAATATCATTTTTACGCTTTTAAATCTATTTATTGGCTTTTATGCACAAAATAATACCAGGATAAGTTGCGAACCGCATAGCAGAACATTTTTATTTTTAAAATACTCAGTTCAGAAGTTTAATAAAAAAGATATTGGTATTTGAAAGTTTCAATTCGTAGTTCTAACTAAATTTGAAATTGGCTTTATAAAATTGCAAAATTCGTCAACACAATTAGAGTACGCATAAAGACAAAATCAAGGACAGTCAACTTTATATAAAGAAACGAAGAGCAATTAAAAATGTCATTTTACAAATGATTGTGGTTAGGTTAGGTTCCTCCCCGTGTGGGCCACCTTGTCGTGGTGGGGGAGCTTAAGGCGGGCACTCCGGAGTCCATCCGCGCCCACTCCTTACGTCTCCGCTGGAGGAGACAACGCAGTGGGCGAATATCGAGGGGGAGAGGCGCGTATGGGAGCGGTGCCCACCGACCGTCCCCAGCCCGAAAACGGAGGAGGCGCGGATACTCCTCCGTGACCGTCGGGAGGACATCCGTCGGGGTGCGTACGTCGAGGTAGACGCGCCGTACCCCGGCGACGATAATATCGACGACTGGGAGGATGACGACGACCTCATGGACGTCAATCCTCCCAGGTCGGAGGAGGGGAAGGTCGAAAGACCGGACACCCCCTCCTCCATGACGAAGGTGGACCGGGGATGCGGATCGGTGTTCCTGGTGGGCTCGAGCGAGGACGAGTGCTCCGATGCGCAGTCGTAGCCGAGCCGCTCGCCCTCAGGATTGCCGAGGGGCCGCGTCCGGCGCCGGGTTTCGGATCCCTGGCCCGAGTGTAGGGAGGGCCTCCTGGACGCGAAGAGGCCCTCGACATTCGGTGCTCCGTTCTTGGAGCACTGTCTGTCGCGGAACCAGCTGGGGAGCTGCTTGGGGCGCGTGCGCTCACGGCGGTCCCCGGCGTGTTGGAGGGGAGTGCTCTCAGCCCCGAGGACCGGGAGATCTTCACGGGGCTGGGAGCGGACGTTCCCGTGCTTCCTTCGCCCCCACCGGCCCAGTGATGCCAGTTGAGGCTACCAGCCACATCGCGACAGCGGTGGTGGGGATGGTACGTCTGCGCGCGCACGCACGCACACAGGCAACACGCTGCATATACTTGTGCGCTCGACGCGTATATGCGGCGTGTTGCCTGTGTGCGTGCGTGCGCGCGCGGACGTGCCATCCCCACTCTATCCCCACCACCGCTGTCGCGATGTGGCTGGTAGCTTCAACTGGCATCACTGCACCGGCCCGAAGGCGTGGTCGCCCTGAGACCACGGGGGCCTAGAGGAGGAAGAAGAAGGAGAGACGCCACCGGGTGGAAGAGGAGGCGCGGCGACTCGGCCTCTCCCCGCCAATTTCGATGGCGGAGGAGAGACGTGCCCGGTCCGATCGCATGGGCTGGGCGACGGGGCGAGTCGAGGACCTTGTGCGTGATAGCGCAAATATGTTGGTCCTCGAACTCGCCGTGAGGGGGTTGGAGCAGTCGATGTTGGTCGGAGACCTCGTCGACTGCTCCAAAAACCTTAAAGGGGACGTGGTTCGTCGCTTTCGCCGGGGCCAATCAGTCCCTGAGGGCGGCGATCACCCATTGGGCTGCCTGCGTTGCCGCGCCGAGGGGCAGGTGGCCCGCGAGTGTGTGGCCCAGCCGAGGTGTCCGGTGTGCCTTGCCGCCGGCGCCCGGCGGGCCATAGGATAGGGGAACCCAATTGCCCGGCCCCGCCGCGCAGGGGG